ACCTGCACCATCCGGTTACGGCGACCATTAAATGAAATAGATCTATAACGTGCTTAGCTCATGGGAAGCTCCACATAATAGTTTTAAAAGAGTAAAGGGAAGAGGGAGCCGTGGGAGGGTGCTGGTGGTCTTCAGGTTGCTCACATGTGAGGAGGGGGGACGTGGGCAGCCTGCAGGGAAACCTCATCCTCTCCCCCTGCAGGCTGGCCCCAGGGCTCCTCTCCTTGGCACAGCCCCAAGACCCGACCACAGAGAGCTCTTTCCACTCATCCCTGGCCCCGCTCGTGCTCCGGGAGATGGGCGGGGGCCGGAAGGACCTGGCGCCTTCAGTTTGGCTTGACAGCCACCTCGCCGACCACTTGTCTGTTTGACCAAAACTTAAAACTGCGTCATCAGATAAGAACTTGGGCTCTCTCTGCTGGGCAGCTGTAGCCTCGTCTGAAGGTGCCACAGAGAAACTGAAGCTCTGCATGTCTCCCTCCTCCTGCTTTTCCAAGTGTCTGTGTGATCCAGTGACTTCCTTTAAAAGTCCACCCCATGTTCTGCTTTTCCCAGCATAGGGAGCCAGAAAAATCCAAAGGAAGGGTCCTCTAGGAACCACCGCGTGAACAGATAGCTGTTTGGGGAATGCGGCCAATCTACTGTGTTCTCAGCATGGCATATTCAGACACGCCATCCACCGCTTGTTCATTGGTGATTACATTAAATGCTGCGTTTCCCAGGGAAGGATCTGCTCAGCCACCACCAGCTTATTCATTATTTATATACAATTAAAGGGCACGGTTCACATGAACACAAGCATATGAGAAAAATCATTATTCATGTACAGATCAAATTGAACATTTGTCATTTCCCTAGTGACTTAACATACTCTTTGTACCTTGGGACCTCAAATTATATTAAGCACAAGAGATGCTTTAACTTTTATTTAGTCTAATTGTTGGCTTTAATCCGCTTGCTCGGATTATTCGGACTTGTTTAAAATTAGTCCTTGCTTCTCCTTAATATATGAAAATAGAAAAAGAGGGAAATTTCTTTTTAGTACCTATTGCATTCTGAGGATGAATGCAAATTGTTCTATGATTCTTAATGACCCACCATTAACATAGTAGGAAGCCCAGTGCATTAATGCAATGCCTCTTTTCACATCATTACTCCTAATGGAACTGTTACCAGGATAATAGCTTGACCTTTAGCTATAGATTCAGACAGCAAAATATATTCTGCTTACTCGATACCTCTATTCACATAGCATATTGAGCATTTTTGGATCAATACAATGTCAATCTTTTGGCCTTGTTCTAAGGCCTCATCTGCGCATGTAACAGAGAATAGGATTTCATCTTCAGTAGATAGATCCAAGTTAAAAGTCTCTTTTAAATTTGAATGTAATCCATGAAATAGAATGTCAGTAATACGCCCAGTGGAAATATTTGCTGGTATAGGTATTTTCCGAGAAGCCTAATGCTGTGTCTTCAAAGGTCTTAGACACAGACCCAGAAGACAAAGATTTCCCTGGCTTCTTTATATTGTAACCGGATAAATTTTAACTGAAAGGAGAAAAAAGAAATAGAAATTATTGCCTTTTTAGTGGGTAACAGAATATTTGAGCCCAAGATAAGCTTAGAAGGATCTGCTTGCAAGTCCCTCACAGAGTGGGAGAAAACATTCCAGAGCCTTCCCTTTGGTTCTCCTAAAACTTGGTCATTGACATGCGTGGTTGCTTGGGAGTCATTTTGATGTTGGCATAACCCACAGTGACTTTGTAATTTGGGACTACTGTTTGCTAGTGTGTGCTAATTTAGACACATGCGTTTCACAATCTAAGAAAAGAGGGGTTGCTATGGAAATTAATTATACAAATAATGTCACAGGGAGGGAAATGTTTACCTGCTAAGATGATATATTCAGTCATTTTTGTGGTACACATTTTCATATAAACTAACAGTGTGCTAAATACAATTATTTTCTTTTTGTTAAAATAGAACTTCGAGAACCTTTTGGCAATTCTCTGATCAGCAAATGTTATTGTGGGCATTTGGATGTAATATAGCCTTTTTTAACTATATTCCATGAATTAAAACTTTCTCAGTAGTCTAAATTCATGAGCTGTTGTATCGGCTGCCATTAGAAACAAAACTGGAAAATATGTGTGTTCATCAAATATTTATTGACTTCTTGCTCAGTACAGGGCACTGTGGTCGGTGCTTTGAGGGAGACAAGATAAATGAGGACCCGTGAAGTGGTCTCCGATCTGGTGTAGGAGATTCAAGAGCACACCTGCCCCTAGGGATATCACTTCATCTGCCTCCCTCCCGAGTAGAGACCGCCGGCTTGCTCATGCCCACAGGCCATATATGGGACAGCCAGGTTGACATTCTCCCCAATCCTCAGTTCCGCTTCCTAATCATCTCCCTTCCTCTGCTCGGCTGGGGCCGGGGTGGACCCTTTCCACCAAGGCTCTTATCACAGCTACACGCTTTCCTCTCCCTCCCAGGTCCTGCTGGCACCTTGAGTGACTTCACTGTCCTCAGGAAAGATCCTGACCCCCTAGCCGCATCACGTCCAGACCTCGTGCGCAGCGACCACACCTTAGCATCCTCATACAGAGCTGCTGCCCCGCTGATGCCTTCTGCTCCAGCGTGATACTCTCGGTTGCCCTCACGCTATGACCCCTCCTTGCCAACCCCACTGATACTCCATTCCCTGATCCCCATAGGTTTTTCCAAGCGTCTGGGCCTTTTTCTGGCTTTGCTTCCTTCCCAGATTTGGGAAGGGACGGGGGGAGTGAAGAAAGCAGAGGTAATGAAGGCCAGCTGGCATCTGCAAGCGCTTTATGTCCCTGTCCTCCTTCCAGAACTGTCCAGCAGAATCCTGACCTGGACCAGTCCTACCATCCAGTGGCGTCACTCCCAGCTCGGAGCTGCAAGGCGCCACGGGACTGTCGCCGCCTCAGGCGCGTAGGCTTCTCTTCCGCTCGGCATCCTCACATCCTCAGTCTGCTGCTCTCCTCTCCCTCTTCTCAGAGGCAATCCCAGACATTGCCCACACTCTCCCTACCCCTTGTCACTGAGGTCCCAGGAGTGATTGCTCCAACCTAGGCCACTTCTAAATCCACCCCAGCTCCCATTCCCTCTGGGCGCAGAGGGGTAAGTCTTCCTCCTGTTCAAGGGCAGCCCCCATTTCCGGATCCTACCACCTCAGTTCTTCCAGCGTGGTTCCTATGACTGTCTCCCTTCTCCTGGATCCTGCCTTCTCCAGAATGTAAACCATGCTCACGTCTCCCCAGCCTGCAGCGCCCCCCCGGGCCCCTCTTCTCTTCCTTCTCCCAACTGAACCTGGTTTTTCTGGAATGTCATCTGTGGCCGCCCCACTTCTCCCTTGAGGAGCTCCAGTGACACTTGGCAAACGGCTGTGCCTGACCCTCTCTTCTGCGCTTCAGACTGTTGGCCCTTGTCTTCGTTAGGCCACTCACTGGTCCTTACGAGACCGAGCTTCCCGGTTCTCCTGATTTCGCCAGCCCTGTGTCTTCATCACCTTCCGGCTGGGGTTCCCTCTGGCTCTGTGCTTGGCCCTGCGCTCTCTTCACTCCATATGCTCTCCCTGGCCAACATTTTTTTCTCATTGCTCTAACTGCCACATATGGGTATGTGCCTCTCGGGCCCGTATCTTCTGCCTGGACCCCTTCCCTGACCTGCCGGCTTCTGTGCCGAGATAGCTGCTAGCCATCCCCGCGTGGGTGCTTTGCAAACACCCCAAATCAGCACGTCCCAAACCAAACCCAGTACAGCCCCCCTTTCCCCTCAAATGTGCCCTTTCTCCCGTATTCACCAGGTCACAGGATACCGGGCCAGTCACCCCCACCACCTTCACTCTAATGTTTGAATGGGCCTGGTCCCCACTATTTTATCCATATTAAGTATTAGCTTTTTAACATTGTTTTTCTGATTTAGTAGATATAAAGTGTGTTTTGCAGTTCTTTGGTTTATATATTGGCTGACCATTTCTCCTAGATACACTTTGTCCATTTATCTATAGAGACTTTTGAAGTTGTTCTTTTATTTGAATGAACTTTTTTTTTCATTTTGGTGGTAGATATTGAACCTCTTCGGTCGTATTTAGCGCAACCAGCTTTTCTCATTCTGATGAAATGCTTCTTTTTCATTCAATAGAAGTTTTACAGTTTTATAGAGTCGAATCTGTCAACATTTTCCCTTGCCCTTTCTTTTTAAAAGAAACCTTTAAAACATTAAAACTGCCAGTATTTTAAATACCATGAAGGCAGGGTGAGCTGACCGCATGCTAGGTCTCTTGCTTGCAGGGAGCGATTGCACAGATGAGGTGTGAAAGCGCCCAAGACGGAGGGAAGCAGAACTGTCCACAGCAGCGCCGGGATGGGCAGCCACACACTGCGCGCCTTTCAAGAAGGCCACCGTCCTGTCTCCCTCGAGTCCTGTCACGACCCCCTCCATGGTCCCCCACGTGCTCACCAGGCAGCATTCCCCTGGGTGCTGGCACAGCATGCCAGAGACTGGCTCCCAGTCCAGCTGGGACTCTAAGACACATCTGCATTATTATTCGAGTACTGACTGAGTTCGTGGGAAGCACCATGGGAATGCCATCTTTTTGTGTCATCTTGCATTGTGTGTGATCTTGCCTGAGATTCAATTTACCAACAGTAATAATCCATTGGCTGAATTTTGTCATGGTGTCAGCGGACCCCGAGGAAGCATTTTCATCTCTACCCGTAAGACATATATACACGGATGTGGAACAGATAGAAAGAGCGGTTCCATATAGCCAGTTGCATTCCGAAGCACCATCCAGTGAGCGGGGTCCTGCCAGCCTCCATCTTTACCAAGGGAACGTCATAATATAGACGTTGAAGATACCCATATTTAGAAATACACTTTTTTTTTCTTCTTGGGATATATTCCTATTTCAGATCTGCGTGGTTTTATTTGTGAAAGTGTTTAACAATATTTCATATTTTCTCTCAGTCTTCACAGAAAAGTACTGCACGGCTAATCACGTGGATAAACTTCCTGGCCCGAGAGACTGGGTGCAGATTCTGCAGGATCAAATCAAACTGGCTAGAAGAAGGTTAAAAAGAGGCTCAGGTATGAATCAGCTGCTAGAAGAGAGTCACCAGCAGCCCTTTCCTGAATTCTCAGATGTGGCAAAGTACAATTCTCTGCTTTAGGGCACTTTTAAGTCTTTTGTCTTTTGAAGGAAAAGTTCTATAGAATGTGCCATGGTTTTGCATTTTAAAGTCTTACTCCAGTAAGTTTTGAAATCCACCTGAAGATTAAGTAGTAAACATTATTATGTCAGGCCATTTACGTTTTACTAGTACAAATGAAGAAGACGGCTCATCTCGTTCGTGGCCTGGTGTGTCTTCCCTGTGAGGCTGGGTCTCTCTTTTGTGATCCGCTTCTATTTGCTGTTGAGTTTTGTTTGTTTGGAGCTGCATGACTTTATAAAAAGCACCAGTTGCTTGAGATAAAAAAACAAAACAAAACAAAAAACCAATAATCCTCCTACCAGCAATACCACATGAAATAGACAAAGGGGTTTTAAGTCACATAGATATTTTTCAAATCTGGCTTTGGCAGTTATGAGATGATTTTACCCAGGAACGTGAATACCAGTTGAATTATGACTATTTAGATTTGGTCATTTGACGTCTCAAATGATGGTGGGCCGATTTACCAGTGAAGCATTCCTTTGAGGTCAGTTTTCTGCCATCATGTAAGAATAATCATCTCTAGGAGGCCACAAACCTCTAGACGTTATTTTTTAAACCAACAAATGATTCCGATCAAACCTCAGGACGCCTGGCCTGCTCAGAGCCTCCGTGCTTCTGTAGTGGGGATTGCGGGTTTCGGGGCGGCTTTCAGATGCTGCCTGCCACCAGCTGGCTGGTACGGAGGCCCAGAGAAGAGCAGAATAGCAGCGCACGTGCGGGGGCCTGGGTCTCCGCCAGATCCCCGCACATGCGCTCCCAGGGTCCCGGGAACAGTGACCGGCCCCCAGGAGAGCTCCCGGCACAGGCTGGGAACGCCCTCAGTGCAGCGAGACGCAGGCAGCAAGGGACGACCAAGTGCATCTTCGGGTGAAAAACCTTACAGCTGTCTTCTGTAAACCAGCTATCAGGACTCCAAAGTATTTAGCCGCAGATGATTTATTTTTTTAATTAAAATCTTCCCTTCCTCTTTTTTTCCCCCATTTGCTCCCTTTTACACGCATTGACGCTCTTCATAAAGAGCAGTGGACTACCGACATTTGTCGGCGGTAGAAACGTAGTGTCGCATCAGGCAGTAAGTTGTAGTGGAGCCCAGACCTGGCGTTCAGATCCCTGCTCCTCAACAGCCCTGCACCTCGGGCAAGTAGCTCCAGCTGCCCAGTCCTCAGTGTCTCTATCACGAAGGGACAGAAAGATAAAGCCCGCTTCGCAGTTGTCACGAGGTTCCAGACGTATGTCCTACGTAAATGTCTCCATAAACAAAGCTAGTGTGCCCCCACAGCCCCCCCCACCCCCGGCTCCTGCTGTCCCCGCGTTAACTGCTAGTTATGCCCCTTTGCGCCTGCGCAGGTTTTCGGGCTTGAATAATAAATGAATCATACACTTGCCCTTCCCCCAGGGCTCTCCTTTTCTTCTTTTTCTTAATCGACAAATCACCGCAAATGAACGTAGCGGGGGCACGCTGCAAAGAACAGGTCTGACTTCCCGGCTCCGATCTGCCATTTCCAAATTCCCGGGACCTTCTCTGAGCCTCAGGCTCTCCATTCGTATAACAAGGCTAATACTTGCCTTGACTGTTTTCAGAGTTAGAATCAGACAACGTAAGTATTGCCACTGATATAGAGCTGACACATAATGCTCAAAAAATGTTCATGCCCTTACCCTCCTTCCCTTGGCCAGCCCCAAACAAAGCAGAACTATTCCTTTATCCCTGCCATTTCTTAAAACCACCACTGTCTCTTTCTCCTGGACGGAGTTGGTCAGATTTCCTCCCAAAGGGTTTGCCTTGCCTGAGTTGGCTTCCCTGTCCCTGTTCACTTCAGAACCCATTACCTTTTGCCCTGTGGCCCCACCCCCATACAGAAACTCCTGCTGCATTTGCGTGGGATGATCAGATTCACTTTCTGTTATATTAACACTCCACTTGACCTGCTTGTTGATTTTGACTCCATGGGATCTCTCCCCTTGGGCTCTGGGGCCTCCCTGTCTTTGCTTCTCCTCCCCGTTCTCCCGCACTGCCTTCGGGTTAGTCCACAGCCCACCCCACCCCACCCCCCCCGCCCAGGCCCGCCTCCGAAACCCAGTGGCTTGCTTTCCATTCTTGGTGCTGTTGTTACTCTAACACCTCACCCAGGACTTGAACCATCCCACCATCGATGGCTCACCAGTGTGCAGCTCCAGACGTGTCCGTGTCCCAGGACCCTAGACTTCATTCTCTGAGAATTAGATACTTTCTCTAGCTTCCGGTCTTCCCCAGCTACAACCCCTTCTGCACACCCCCTTCAGCATGGCAGGCGGGCTCCTTGACAGCCAGCCCCACCCTCCTCGCCCACTTCCTCCCCTGCCATGGGCCCGGAGGTGGCCCGGCCCTTCTCCTGCCCCTGCCTCACCAGACGCCTCCCTGTTCTTAACCGTGCTGGGCTCTCTGCCTGGGAAACAGCACCTCCTCTTGTCACAGATCTCAAAGGACACTTCCTCCTGGAGCCTTCATCGGTGGCCCAGCTCTTTGGTCTTCTGCCACCAGAATAATGGCATTCCTGTCTCCTCCACCAACCCTGAGATCCCCAGGAGCAGGGTCTGCATCTGAGTCGTCGTGTTTCTATCCCATGCGTGTGGCACATCGTGGACATACAGACTATTTGGTGAATGAACGAACAAATCAGTCAGTGGAAAAAAGAGTCAGTAATCCACAACGAAAAGGTCTTATTGTTCAAGCTCATCCTGATCACATGAGATCCTGGATAATATTCTAAGAGTTCCTTACCTGACATTCAAATACTTATTCCATGGCCCCCAGAATCCACGGGATGGCAACATCCCTGAGCTCTGTCCCTGGGGACAAGGTCCCTGGGATTCCTGGGGACCCCCGTGGTGCTCACGTGGGTGTCCTTGAGTGCCCCTTCTTTCCTCCTCCTCAAGCGCGTTCTCTCATTTCCTTCTCTGCACCCTACCTCCTTAGTCCCCTTCTGATTTCCTCTCTTCTCCCTTCCTCCCCCAAAGGATCAGAGTCTTGAGTCACAGTGGCCTGACCTCACTCAGGGTAGATCCACTGAATAATACTTAGGAAGAATAACTCCCCTAGTGGGTCTCTCACCCCTTCTTTTGCTAAAGGTCTTCTGCCTCAGCCTTACTTGCCTCACAAAGGCCCCCTTTTATTACTTCAGGCTCCTTAGACTTCAGGCTCCAGGAAAGGGTTGGGGGGAAAGGGTCACAGTTGCATGACGGGTGTTAGCGATGACAACTGGCCAGTAGAGTACACAGCAAATCACCCCTCATTGAGCTCTGATGCCCTGTTGGGTGCTGTGTCTCCTCTTTTATATCCCAAGTGAAATTTCATTTATTAAGCCTGAATGGTGTCTTTGCTAATAAGTATTAAGTTGGTCTTGTGTTGCTGAAATTCTACCTTGGCGATCTTGACTGTTTGGGTATGTAGGAACTTCATTTGCCTATTGGGGAAATTGTTGAGGCCCAAAAAACAGAGACGCTAAGGAGAGCCGTCAGGCCTGAGAGAAATCTAAAATTTGCCAGAGCAAAGAGACCTGAATTTAATACTCTGTAAGCCCAAAAGAGAGGGGAAGGGCCAGAGTACCCCAAGAACTGGCCACTTGGCTACCTTTTGGTTCTTCCACGCACTGGTCCCAAGAATGACACCAGCTTCTAGCCGGAGGTGGGTTAGTATGTTCGTGCACTTCAGTTCCTCTGCCTAGAACCCACAGAAGCTGCCTCGTCTCTGCCTGCTCCACAGCGGGTGGATGGAGGAAATGGGAAAATGTGAGAAATACCTGGAGCAACTTGGGAGCTTGAGGGAAAAGAACTGTATGAATCCAGAGTACCGGTGCTACTAATTCAGGAACGACAGAGCCAACTCAGAGGAAGGAAGAAGAGGGCTTTGTGTTCCAGAGCATGTGCCTCCAGCTGAGGAGAAGGATTACAAGTCCCTGGGGGACCTGAAAAGTTTAAGTTTGAAGAGGAACCTTTGAAGGTAGAAGACATGAAAAGGAGGGAGAATATCGAGTATGTATCGAGTGTATTGCGGAAGGCTATTTTCAGAGACGCAGAAACAGCCTTTCTGGTGTTAAAAGGAAAACCACAGGCCCAAAATGGAGTCTCTTGTACTAGGGCCACTTCACCAGACTGGGGCGTAGTACCTAACCTGACTGCGCTTTCAACCTCCCCCGGGAATGTGCTCTTAACTGGTCAGTCAGGAATTTTCTGGTCAGCACCAATAAAGTAATCTGTCACGTGGACCCTCTCCGTCTCCCAGAGCAAGATGAGGTAATCCACCTAATAAGACCCTTTTGTCCCCAAAGGAAGGTGGCCTTACCCACAATAATCCTTTTTCTGTTTATGACTTTCTCGTCCTGTCTTTTAAAACCTTCATGCTTTGCTGGAACCCTTTGGAGCCCCCCGTTTGCTCAACGGGATGCTGCCTGATTTCCTGATCACTTCATAAAGCCAACTAGATCTTCACATTTACTCAGTTGTGTTATTTTTAACCCTGGAAACGGCCTACATGACTAAAATAGGGAGTTTGGTTTAAATTTTGTTTCCTTGTTGTAAGGTAGTGTGGAAACATCTTCAACGTATAGTTTTCGTACCATTCATTTTTTAACAAGGGGAAAATTCATTTGTAAGCTGGTTGGGAAAAAAGTTGATCTTGATATAAATTTATATTTGATAAAAAAAACTTTTCTTCATGCTGTATCTTTTATACATAAGCACACTTTTTTTTTTCCCCTAGTGTCAGGTGCTGAGACCAATTATAGTGAGCTCCCTTCCCTGCTTCCCCCCAGCAAACACACATGCACACAGTGGGCACTTTCCTCCATGTTCCTGCTTCTGTTTCCCACAGACTGGCCAGTGAGCACATTTCTTAACCATCCCAGCATCTGTATTAGTAAATCACAGGACACACACATTTCACACAGACACGCCTGCTTCTGCAGAGTGGGATCCAAACTGTGGACAACTCCCCTATCCTTCCCTTCCCGTGGGAGCCTCTCACGGGCTCAGATGTTGTCTGCCCTGTTCCCTAGTCAGCATCATATTCGACTCAGGACATCTTCACGTCTGACCACTGGGTTTAGACGATCCGCCTGTTTGTGATGGGCGCCTTGACACTTCTCTGCCTTCTTGGCAAGTTCCTTCTGCATCTGAGAAGGGGGAGGTGGCTCCAGGGTAGACCAAGAGACAGCACATCAGTGGCGACCTGCCAGATAGGCTTTCTCTGCCAATTTTGTCAAATACTGTTACACTTCATTCTCCTCAAGTGGCACCAAAGTGGGACTCTTGCCTTTCCTTCCTGAAGCTGATAGGAACTGAGAGGCCTGGATCAATATGTTGCTCCTGCTCATGTTCTTTTGTCTTGATTATTCCCAGTCCAAGTGATAATACGAACAGTGTCTCGTAGATGTTCTACACATCTTCAACCTTACTTATCATATTGGGCGCCATTCCTGTAATTAGGTACAGACTCTAACTGGGCGAGCTCATCAGCTCGCTGCGGCAGGAAGCCCACCCTGCCTCTAGGAAAGAGAGGTGTCCCACACAGAGCTGAAAGGGGGTTCTGCGAGTTCAAGTAGAAATTTACTTGGGGCTCTCATCACATGTAATAATTTCCTCCTGTAACTGGAATGATTCCTTTCCCCGTGTGGATTTTTAATCATTTTCATTAGGTTATTTCCTCAGAGCTTGAAACCACAATTTTTTATTTGTGTTAGATCCCAGAGCAAAGCTTTCACTGCTATTAAATTTTTATCGGACTTGCTCAATCTTTTCTAAATTTCACAACTTGAGGGGCGCCTGGGTGGCTCAGTCGTTAGGCATCTGCCTTCGGCTCAGGTCATGATCCCAGGGTCCTGGGATCGAGCCCCGCATCAGGCTCCCTGCTCGGCGGGAAGCCTGCTTCTCCCTCTCCCACTTCCCCTGCTTGTGTTCCCTCTTTTGCTGTGTCTCTCTCTGTCAAATAAATAAATAAAATCTTTAAAAAATAAATAAATAAATTTCACAACTTGACTGTCACCTGAGAAGACTATGAGTTTGTTGTTACAAACAGATGTTACAATTAAATTTAAGGAACACAGCTGTGTTCTTCACCCGTGACACTTGGCCCTGTTCGTGCAGCCAGCATGCACTAATTTGCATACGATAATTTGTGTATTTTTCAGATGTATACATTCCGTTTTTACTAGAGCACAGGATTGCATAGGCCTGGTTTTTAAAAGTGAGGATGGCTAAATTACAAAGGGAGGGGTTTTGTTATAATTAAAGAGAAAGTAATTATACATGTAGAGAAAGTTACTAAAGTATAAAATGAACTAGAAGTTGAAGATTTTAAAAATTGCTCACAGTGATGCATGCAGTATATGTCTGGACTGTTAGTAGCAAAGAGATTAAGAGCGCAGGCATGAACCTGACTCACGGCCTTGGCTACTTACTAGCTACATTCCCTTAATCTCTCTTTTTTTAAGTTTATTATTTTTTTTTTCATAATCTCTGTACCCAGCGTGGGGTTCGAACCCACGACCCCGAGATCAAGAGCCACACACTCTTCCAACTGAGCGAGCCAGGCGTCCCGTATTACCTTAGTCTCTCAACCTCTGTCTCGGTTGTTTTCTTTGTTAAAACAGGCATAATAACCGACCTACCTTGTAGAATTTTCTAAGAGTTAGATGACATGACGTATGTAAAGTGCTCAGTAAATGGTAAACATTTAATAAATGGTGGTGGCTCTCATTGCTAGTATTGATATTATTACTGAAAAATTTTTTAAATCCTAGACAGTGATAGGACTACCGTGTAGCTCATCTCCCTAATCAAATTCACTCAGGCCAATTAGAAGAAAATAGTGTCTTCTCAGTATAAAGATAACGTATGTTCATTATTTCATAGATATATACAATGATTTTAAAAACTCAACAGAATTTTAAATGCCTGTAAGCCTTTCATCCAGATTGAAACACTGTTAACATTTTAGTATGTCCTGTATTTTGTCTGTAAGCCTATTTTTAAAATTTTTAGTCTTACCATTTATCCTCACACTTGAATCAAATGTTTTATGTTATTAAATAGTCACCTACAACATCATTTTAGAGGAGAAGAGCAGAAACTCTTCTCCAGCCCAAACTGGTCTTGACTATTGTGTCTCCTCTCGGCGTTTTCTCTGCGGTGGATTTAGCGGGTCCGCAGACAATGGGCCTTTCACTGATGCCAGCATGTAGCGATCTGAGGACAAGGTGTCAGAGAATGAACCGGAGTGGAAGCCTTTGAGTGTTTCTAGCTATATCTGCCCCCCTGATTGTGTTTAAAGCCACAGCAATAAAAACAGGAGCGGCGTATTACTTTGGCTTCCCACCGGCTCAGCATCCCAACGTGAAGGCAAATGGCAGCCCCCATGTGACTGGCCTCACACGCACCTGCCAAGGGAACCAGCCCCAGGACGCACAGAGCAACTAGCAAAATTATCCAAATAGCCCTGATGAAATGTTTTGACCTGTTCCTGGCATGCTGGGGAGACTGATGAGCCCATCAGTTATCGGGAGACATAGGAGCACTTTCTTTTTTTGTACTTAGCGGAAGGTTTTCTGCGACTGAAGGAGCTACCTTTGGAAAACTCTTAAGGAGATTAAAACATATCAGGCATGAGCAAAACTGTGTGCATTTTGAAACAGAGACGTGACGAATCTTTTGAAGATACACTTATTCCTTCTGATTTTCTTTATGGCTGAACTGATGCCCATTTTAGATGGGCAGCTCCAGGATCTGAGTTTCCAGTCTTCTCCAAAGAAAGGCTGGTTCTCAGGATTTCCTAAGCCTCCCCCACAGGGATGGTTCTGAGGATGACAAGGGAAAATTCTACCGCAGGGACTCACTGACCTCTGTCCTTCCACGGTCATACTGAAGCAATTCCCCCCAGATTCTGGGTGGATATTTAAGCCTAGGCAAACATGGGGAAATGAACTGAAATCATCAGTGATTGACAGAATTAGGTTCATAAGATACCAAAAAGAAATTTAATGCAGGAAAAAAGATTTTATATCATTATCTTAAAAAAATACTTTAACTACTGGTACTAAAATCTAATGTGAACCAACTCAAGCTGCAGAGGGGGAAGAAAGTTGAAACAATCATGCATTACTGGAGTTTTTAAATTGTATTACTGGATTCAGGAAAATGAACGTGTTCCCTGAAATTAATGAGATTTGTGTTTTATGTTTGTAACCAGCAGAGGTAGCTGACGGTGATGAAAGACTGGACAGCATTTCCCTACCACCAACAGGTAAAACACATTTACATTTTCATCACCCGCTGGAAAATACAGCACATGAAAACATTTGCATTGAAAATGTGTGTGACGTCAGAGATCCAGATGCTTGAGCAGACGGCTTCTGGCCCAGACCCTAGTAATCAGAGGTTCTCAGTGCCCTGTGTTAAGAGATATTTTTACACTGAGTCTGAAAAGCTCCCCTTTTTCTCACATTGTCTCATATTCTCAAGAGCCTCAGAACAGCAAGTCCTAAGAACTTAGTGTCGCAACATCACGCCTCCCAAAACCTGTGGACATTGAGAGGACTTTAACGTGAAATGATATTGCTGTCTAGAACAAGGATCACCAGCTTCATGATAAAATTCATGTCTGGTCTGTCCTCGTCTGCCTCCCCCCGAGGGGGTTTTGAGAGGCAGTCATGGCTCTTCATATAATGGACACACATTATATGAAGAAAGGCTGGTTCCTCATGCGTGTGAGTGACCGGATAAGCCAGTCCCTCTAGCATGGCTCCGTATTCCCCGTCCTAGAAGCAGATCAGCCTGCAACCTCTGCTACAGCGGGAAGCCACAGACATAATTCTGACTTCATAGTATGTGACTCCGACCCCAGCCTCCTGGCTCTGTGTTGGCTCATACCTGAGAGCCCGAGGGACGGGGCCCGATCCCTGGGCCACGCGACAATTTACTCCCTCAGTTGCTGGCAGGACTCTATTGACCGCCCTCCAAAATCAACCTGACGATTTGCTGCCCACAAAACCCAGACACCCCAAAAAACCCTCTACGGGAAAAAGCCCAACTCCAGATTTAGGGTGATAAGTTTTAAGTAAAATCCGGCAAATAGAAGTGGAAGAGCTAGTCTTTGTAGGAGCGCTGCTGGGTCGCACGTTCACTGGAGCACCTGTCCCGGGATGGCAAGGAGAGCAGAGTTCCCAGCGGTGGGACAGGCACAGGTCAGGACAGCAAGGAAGCCCCGACCGTGTAAATGATGCCCGGCTTTCTCAGTCACTCTGTAGCTAAGCAACGGATCGATGGTCACATAAATGAACTGCGGCCCCTAGTACAAAAAAGGCCTGCTTACATCCAGTCCTTACCAGATGCGGCCATCATATGAAAGGGAAGCTAAAACTCTGCTTGGCTATGTTTCCACATTTATGAATTAAGATAACGGAAACGCATGATCTCTACTGTTCCTTCCCCTAGTGTCCTTGTCCGTCAGGACAGCTTGCATTAGCCTTGTTCTGATCCCAGTAGACCCATGAAATCCTACCACCAGTAATGGTACCGTGCATTTCAGGAGGCGGTCTGGAGGAACCCAGGGCCGGGTACTGCCCTTCCTCACGATCTTCCTGACACTGTGGGCTTTGTTATCATTAGCGGTGCTGCTATTATTATTTGAAAGCCATTCCCCTTGAAATAATACCTTTGCATTTTCCTGTCTGAAGATGGAGGCAGAGAGATGTTTCAGATGAGGAAATTGAACCCGGGATGGTAGAACCACCTCATGGAACTGAAAAGAATTTCCAGGAATCTGAGAAAGAAGGAACGTTAGAGATCATCTAGTCCCCTCCCTTCTTTTTATCCAGTCCTTTTATTTTACAGGTAAAAAAGCCTGAGGCCCAGAAACCCTAAATGACTCTCTCAAGGTCTCACAGCTGGTTGGTGGCCTGGCCGGAGCCCCGGCTTCTCGACTTCCGGCCCTTCTACCGCATAGCTTTCTCATACCTAAGCCAAAGCCAGCTTTTCTCTGCATGTTTCCTAAAGATCCTAAGAGTCGATGGATGTACTAATCCCTTTAGGATTCCATTCCACTGTCTGTCTTCACAATTAGAATGTCTGTCGTAAGCCTACCTGAAGTCCTCTGCAGTTGAAACTCACTTACTGCAGTTCTTTCTCAATTCTTGCCCGAGGTCGTGAGGTCCTGACGGACACAGTAGTAGGCCAGGTCTCTTCACTAGACTCTTGGCGTTTGATGCAGATTACTGCACAGCATGATAAATCATACCGTTTATCATTTAGAAAAGGGGAAAAGAAGTCGCAGATTGGTGCTCAAATGTCACAGTATTGGAATTAGATCATCTTGGTTAGAGTAGCGTGTCTGGATCGCCTCTAAAGTAAAATCCCCGGTCTGGGCAGCGTCTCTGCAAATAGCACCACTGCTGGCCCTCCCTCCTCACCTGTGCCCCCAGGAGGCCCCCGAAGAGGCGAAGTGCACCTCTCCTGCCCCGGTGGCTTCACCCTTGCATTTGAGACTCACTGGTAAGACCTTCCTTCCCTGGTTGATCTCAGCTGGTGACATTGGGTCCTTTTGAAAGATGTAGCAACACCTTTTTTATTACCTGTTTACGGTCTTTTTCCTCCTTCCAAATTTGTGTGTGTTGGGGAGGGGCGGGGGGGGGACCCTTAAGCGCGTCTGCGAACCGGGACTGAGCAGGTCAGGGGTGCGGTCAGCCAGGCCACGGATGTTTGATACAGTCGCTACACTTAAGCAACCTTCTGCAGGTCTAGTTTTAACAAGAATAAGAGCGGGTTTTCTTCATTCCTTTTCCCTCACAACCCTGTCAGTAAGCGTGTCGGAGCAGCTCCCAGGAATCCGCATGGTTAGGTTCTGGAAACAAATACCCGCCCTCAGGGAGCCCCGGCCCTGCGTGAGGCAGGCGGTGTGGGCAGCGTGCTCTGATAGCCCCAGAAACCGCCCACGACTGGGGGACACGCTCTGTTGGGGAGGAAAAAAAGTACAGAGAAAGTAAAATTGAAACAGTGCTTTCTAAAATTTACAAAGGAGACTTCTTCATTTGAAAGAGCGTAGCGCAGAGCTCACCTGGGCCTAGCAATTTTTGTCATAAATTGGCCATCTTTGACATACTTCTAAACAGTTAAAGTAAAGGAAGAAAATATAATTTTACCACTCAGACAACCATTATTGGGTATTTTTCCCCAGACTTTTCTATTTACACAATGGAGACCCAAATACATAAAATTTTTGTTTTCCGGGGGGTTTTTTTTCCTTTTTTTTTTAACCTCACAAGCATTTTCCACTTTTCACAAATCTTCATACACATTATTTTAATAGCTGCATCATGTTCTCTCTTACAGGTAAACCGTATTTTATTTAGCCATATTGTATTCCTGGACAATATGTGGACATACTCCAATAGTAGCACACAGTCATGGACTTTCCTGTAAAAATAACCAGTACAAATTTCCGGTGGCTAAAAGTGCTCACAACTAAAGTCTTGGCTGAAAAATTAGTGACTTAAATGTGAAACATACACTTCATCAGCGAGGGTCTCCACCGAGCCAGCCTCCTTGCCTCTAGCCCCGTCACAGAAGGCGTACAACTCTCCTTTAGAGAGGCGGCCCCCCTTCATTGTCTTGTCTCTGTTGTAGGTCATATATTTGACACCAGGAGAGAAAACACGGAAGACACAGAGCCAGATTTCACTGCCTAGACTTTCCTTTTAGTGACACTGTTCATTAGCACACGTAACTCCTTCCGTTGAATTCCCTCAAAGATCCACGTAGCATTTCAGGTTCCTGCAAAGTGTGGGCGTTCTGTGAAGTTTTCCCGTCATATCTGAATAGTTTTCCTATACTTTCTTTGTCGTATGTGATAATCAAGCCTCCAGTTTGGTGTTAAGAGTTTTAGAAATCATTTTGAGAGTTGACTCGTTTGTTACCTTTTAAAAGTCCACCATATGACCAGTGAGTTCGTTGTTCACTAAAAAGCAGTTCTTTTTTTTTTCCATAAGCTCAATGTGAATATATAGAGTTTTGAAGCATATTTATTTTAATATGCACGCCTTAGATGCAGAATAAAGGAGAACAACTCTTTCCAGCACTGAGGGAGCAGTTGGGAAGGCCAACATTAATTAGGCCTTCAGCGGCTTAGAAGATGAAAAAGTTGTTTTGGGAGACAGGATAGCTCTGACCTATTAAATGAAATCATTTGTGACATCAGTTCCTCCAAAGATAACCATTTGTAACTGAGTAAGTGCAAACGATTTATGAACTCTTAGGGAAGAAAGACCTTTCACAAAGATTGTGTCAACACAGTGACAAAATGACTAATTAAAAGGCGAGAAACTCAAAGTAACCAGTGACCCACACGATACCTAACAACTATTTTCACAGAGGATTTTAAACTGCGGGGTCCAGGGTTTTGGCACCGTGTGGCAACCAGCCACAAATGGACTTAATATTATATATTTCATTTGGCTCCTAGTACACTCGCCCTCCACTTTGTATGAAACCAACATATGAAAATAAGGGTTTATACTAAAGAGATAGCTTGCCATGTGGGTATTTGTTTTATAGAAATATTTACCTCCAGATTCCCTTCTCCAAAAAGATGGTGAATTTAAAAATACCGTTTTACTTAGAAACATTGCATGTAGACCTCATTCACTGTATAAAGCAAATTACCATAAAATCTTTGGCACTTGACCCAAAAGCCAAAAATCAGCCGGAAAGAAATTTGGGCTGTAGACATGCCGAGCCAGAGGGGGAAAGAATTGTTGCTATTTCCCTAGCACCTGTTTTATGAGGTCCTGGAGCATTGGAGCTCAGAGTTCTTGTAGAGGCACCCTATCCAAGAGACTCGTGCCGTAGCACACCGAACCGCTCCACCTGAGCTCGGAGGGGAGCTCGGGGGCGATGCTGGGGTCCCCTGAAGGCCAGCTCATCAGCCGAAGACGAGAGATAGGAGGCATCCCTGAAATGTGACAAAGCTGGTCCCAGGCGTGGCTTATAGAATCAATCTCACTGCTAGAGAGCTCCATCTCATATCCGTGTGTCTTTTGTCTTATTTCTGAAGTTACAAGGAAGGTTCAGAGAAATGGTTTCTGTCACGTCCTATAGTTATTAGCGTTTTACGTTTCTATGCCTGTTAGGAATCCCTTCCCTGAAACTGGTCCCATTGGTCATCAAGTGGCCCTGATGAAGTCCTACATCCAGGGCTTTTGTTTTTCTGCAACGTATGTTTTAAAATTTGTCTTCTGCCCCCCAGCAGGAAATATTTCTCAAGGGAATTGAAAAGATTAATTAGTGACCTTTCAACTCTATTACAGTGAGATGAGTATGTTGCTAATAAAGGTAGAAACATTTACCTTACCACTGTGGGATCTGTTAAATATACATCGTGAACCTTCGAAGGCACTTGACAGCTTGGATTTTCCAGTACTTGAGGAGGGGTGGGGATTGCTCAACTCACAAGTACGTGCAATGCATCCACAAATTGGAAATACATATCACAAAACTGCAGCAGTAAAATCATAATTTGTACATTAAAATTGTATTTGTGTTTACTTACTGTGACTACTGTTCAGACTTTATTCAGAAATCCTTTTTATAGGCTTTCTTAGTAAAAAAAAAAAAAATTCCATATCTATGGATGATGTCTCAATCTTCTGTATATATGTTTTATTAATATGTAAATATTTAGATTTTTTAAAATTACTATGTTCTTTAAAAAGAATTTCAACACAAGGCTAGATGTGAAATGGTGTATAACATTGTGTTGTGATATCAGTTCCCAAGATGCTCTTTATGTTCGTTCCAGAAGAATACAATAAATTACTTTAATTGAATGTGCTGTTTCGTGCCCGTGTGCCAGTCCTCCGTGTGTTTATGAAGAGGAGTCAGGGCTAATCATTAATTAAAAGGTATTTATTAATACTCAGGTGATCTTACACAGAGAGTTACATCTCCTTAGGAAGCTAATTTTTAAAAATAAACAAACAAACTGGATTGCCACCAGAAAGAGTGTCTTCAAATACAGAAAGTCGCAGGCTGTGCCTGGCAGTCCGGTGAACGGCTGTGGCCGGTCCCCCTGTACCACTTGAGCATTAAGTACGGATAGGCTCGAAGCCTAATTTTAAACGAATGAGGTAGCTTAATAATCTTCACTTAAAAGGTTAAGCCCTGCTTCTATGGAAACAACACATCAGAAGGACAAATCTGTCTTCTTTGGTGCAAAGCGGCTGGTCAAACCTCATTCCTTTATGCTCCTCCCTGAACACAGGAGGGCGCTGCTTCTCATGCCCGCCCCCCGGCCTGGAGCACCCCCAGGCCGGTCTGTCCGTTCTCTCCAGGCCTCTCTTCGGGGTCTGGGGCCTGGCTTGGGAGGGCCCGGAGCTATTCTGCAGCTGCCAGCGAGGTGGGCGTGGGGTGGGGGCTGGGCAAGAGTGACCACAGAAGAAAGCAGCTGGGTCGCTGGTGAGAAGGCAGCAGGGCAAGGGGCTTGCAAAAACAAGAAAACCCAAACTAGAGCCAGCTGGAGGGTCTCACGTACGCACACCTCCTGGAAGCTGGGAGCCTGACACCAGCTTGCCCCACTACGGTCCTAGACATCCGTGCAGCCCTTTGGGCCGAGGAACAATCTGTGAGGGGGCCCACATCATGTTATTTGGCCCAAGGTCCTAGGACGCCCTCGCTCCCACACATTTATGTGTCACCCGACCGACTGACAGCCCTAAAGGGTTGCAGTGTGAGGGGCCCAGGTGCACCACGGGAGGCGCCACTGGGAAGGGGACTGTGTCCTGTCCCCGTGGACGGAAAGCTCGCACGCTGCCTCAGTTGCCCCCCGCCTCACGGAGTGACTGGGAGCAGCGGCTGGCTCGTTCCCCAGCCGCACCTCGAGTCCAGCTCAGCCGTTTACTGAAACCCACCGAGGGCAAGGGCTGTGTTGGCTCAGTCCGGCAGGGGCTCGGAAGCAAGGGAAAGAGCAGTGAGAGCCAAGGCTGGGGAGGTTGGCCAGGTGCCAAACATGCCAGGCCACGCAGACCATCCCAAGAAACTGGGAAGACGCAGGGCAGGAGGGGGTGGGGGGCGGGGACCACTGAGGCCCCCGAAGGGATCTTGATCAGATTCATAGGAGGTATTGACCTGTCTGGCTGAAATATGGTACACTGACGGGGCAGGGGCAAGCCTCAAGCAGGGAGTCCCATTAAGAAGCTGTGGGAATAGCTAGGGATAGATGGAGCTGCCATGAGGACACAGCCCCAAATGCCCAAGCAGAAGAAAGAGAACCAACGGGATTCGGTGACTCACTAGCTGGGGGTGGAGAGGGAAGGGCAGCTCTAGGGAGGAGAGGGGGCTCTGGCTGGGGAATCTCAGGGTCCCTTGTGCTCGCCAAGGGACGGAGCATGGGGAGGAGCCATTGGGAGAAGAGTGACAGACGCATTCAGGTACGAGGTTCCTCCATCCATTCATTCATTCAGCACGTTTGTACTGCACACTTAGGATGGGCCTGGTGCTGTTCTAGAGGCCAGTAGAGCAGAGAGCCAAAGTCCCCGTGTGCATGGGGCCCACCAGGACCGTCACAGAGTGTGAGCCGGGAGGAACCACCAGCAGATAAGACACCGTGTGCTCCTGAACTGGAGAAGGAACTTGAACTTGGAGCTCAGGCCCAGACTAGAAGCAATCAAGATTTGAAGCACCCTTCATTCAGCATAATTCGAGTCTCAACTAAACATCAGCACAGAGCGAGTCCTGACCGGCGGCTTATAAGCAGCCACTGGTCCCCATCAGCTCACAGGCTCAGTCCCTTCTTGTCACTTACCACTCTCCGACACTGTCGTGCTTAACGACGTGGTTGTTTACGGCCTGCTTTCCGCCGAGATCTAAGGCTCATGAGGTCAGAGACCTGACCTGTAAGGCCATGAAGGTTTCAGTCCCTGGCAAAGACATTTTCAGGACATCCCTCTCCCCGAGAAAGGGTGGACTGTGACAGATGAGGGATGTTGGGTACTGCACTCTCCCTTCTTCTGTTCCATAGTCTTAGACCCCACGCCCTTCCTTGGTCCCTGTATGGACACTCTTCATCAACAGCGGAGAAACTGTGTCAACAGTCCCACACAGGACATGCAGGGTGTGGCCCACGAGAATTTGGTAACTCAAATGATTCAGAGCAACGCTTTGAATTTACACAAATCAACTCCGTCTGTACTTTGTAACCTCAACAGTATGCAACTGATCATCCCCCTATATATGAAAAAGCCAAAGAACAGTCTGGAAACGAAGCCCAGGTGGGATAATCTGCAGTATCCTGTGCGTTACACATACTGATGTTCCAAACAGACCTGATACTTAAGGGACCTTTTTAATTGTGTGGGGTTTTTGTTTTTGTTTTTTTGCCATTTTTATCTGTTAATGCTGAGAAACTGAGGGACATTTTAAACCTAAAGTTTGAAACTAAGCTACTTTAGATAATTCCTTTAAAATGCTTTCCCAGAATGCAACTGATGTGAGCATGGGAGATGGAGGAGGTGACCAGAAACTAGCTCTCTTGACTTCCAGTTGTTCACACTCTCCACCATGACTCTGTAACAGATTTCAAAACGTGGAGGGCCCTCGATGTGAATATGGAGTGAAAAATCAATTTTACAAAGGAAATTGAGAGTCCTAAATTGGTTCAATTAAGTGGTGGACCAATTGCATATTCTGGTAGGAAAAACAACTCTCTACTCTAGCAACGGGGTGAAAAAGAGAATACATTATAATAGATGGCACTTGCTCTGTATATTACTGAATTAAGTATCCTCCAAAAGTGATGTATTTCTAACCACTGGAAACCAGAAGTCACTCATGCTAAGCGACTCATGCTAAGCCCATCCCCCCTCTTGTGAGGAAGACCGTAACAGCACCCGGTTAGGGGAGCTATTTCACTGTGTGAAGCAATCCTACCTTCTTCCACTCACTCCTCTCGCCGATTCTCCCTGT